ACTTAAAACTTAGCTTATGGTTCGTCCTTGTTTGGCCTCCAGATACAAGACCAAATATACCTCATTGTCTATATTTTGAACCCCAGACACATTAATTTCAATGTATATCGATTCCTGGAAAAATGTCTGCTTATTTACAGTTTGACTTTTAGATCATTATGTAAGGGCAGTCTCTATAGAAGGTTAAAACGCAGCTTATGATTCATCACTGCACGGCCTAGGTGATAACAAAATGGCTGCTAATTTACATTTTGACTTTAAAAACCTATGTTTTCAAGGTCATTTTAAATATGTGATTAAATTTAGGTTATATTTCATCATTGCATGGCTTTCAGGTACAAGAAAAATACTTGTTTAATTACTTTTTAACCTTCAGAACATTTATTTAAAAAAAATCGAATTAAATACGTATATACCGTGTTCCCACAGAACGGTGGCTAGGAATTATTTAATTAACGGACATTTATAAGAACTTTGACACTATTTTTAAATTATGTGTTACAGCTTCGATTTTTAACAAATTGAAAATCATAATGAAATTGTTAGTTGCTATAGCAAATATAATAGATATAAGAAGATGTGGTATGAGTGCCAATGAGACAACTCTCCACCAAGTCAAAATTTATAAAAGTAAACCATTATAGGTCAAAGTACGGTCTTCAACACGGAGCCTTGGCTCACACCGAACAGCAAGCTATAAAGGGCCTCAAAAATTACTAGTGTAAAACCATTCAAACGGGAAAACCAACGGTCTAATCTATATAAAAAACGAGAAACGAGAAACACTTATGAACCACATCAACAAACAACAACTACTGAACATCGGATTCCTGACTTAGGACAGGTGCAAACAATTGCAGCGGGTTTAAACGTTTTAATTGTACCAAACCTTCACCCTTATCTGAAACAATAGCGTAACATCACAATAAGTCTGTTTTTGCAATATCTAATTTGTTACAGCAACAGATTTTTTTCTGATAAAACTCTGTAAGCTGTTTAAAAAAACTATTAATTTGTTATACGTAACTATTAATTGATTATAAACACAAGAAAGTTGAGATACCTATTAAAAATCTGTTTTTCACAAAAACAAAATAAAATATCAGACGGTTTTCAATATGTTACTCGTTGTTTTTTGTCGTTGTTAGGGCCTATATTTTTTAGCGGAGTAAGATGTTGATGGCTGGTGTGGTCTGTTGTATTATCCAAATTGTTTACAATACCTGTTATCCTTTTTATGTTTTATGTGATGATATTTTGTTTTATATGATTCCGCATTTCCAACCAAGTAAGGGGTCGGCATGAAAACTTCAACGTCACTTGGTCTCTGATGGATAGTTGTCTTACTGGCAATCATATCACATTTTCATATTTCTATATTAAGCCAATCAGCAACACCTGATAATCTGTTATATTATTAAATCAAGCTTGTGATTCATCCTCGTATGGCTTTCTGGTACATTAAAAGTGCCTGCTAAATTACATTTTGACTTCAAGGTCATCTTAATTGGTATGAATGTCACATATGACCACGGAATTGTTCCACTGGTAACCATAATCATTTCCTCTTTTCCTCGATTGTAACATTATATGGAACTTTAGCCATATTTTTACTGGCATGAGCAGGAACTGCTTACCCTTCCAAAGCACATGAGTTCATGTCTATATTTATGTTGGGTGTGCGTTGCTCAATATTTAGCGTTAAATTATTGTTGTTTGTTTTTATTTTTTTTCTTTATTTTCCATGTGATAATGTGTTGTCTGTTTTTATTAGATTTCTGAGTTCTTATCACCCCTTTGGTTTGTTTTAAGTAATTAGCAACACTTACAGAAGGCTGCATTTGTCTGTATCGGCTTAGCAGGGAAAGGTAGCGCTATTCAAAGTTATTGCAAATTCCAATCAAGGACCGAAGCTCATAAACTCGTCAAACACAGGAGTTCGGGAACGTTTTGATTGGCGATTATCATGCTTCGCTTGTGTTCTAAACCAGTTTAAAATGTATGCATCCATATTGAACTCAACAATTTTAATCAAACTGATGTTTTTATATTACTATAAAACTATGTTCCATTAAGTAATGCTCTGTATAGGGATAGCATGGGGAAAAGTTGGAGGGTTTTGTAAAATTTACAAAATATGAAAACCTAAAATCAATAACATCGCAGCAAGGCTGCTTATATAAAAACGATTTACAAATAAAAAAAACATGAGAGATTAGTAATTCAATTTAAACAAATTGATAACTTGTTACGAAAAACTAATTTATCATTTAATAAATGAGATTCAAACCGACTCTGACTGTTGTCAAGACGGGGGATGAAATCATTTTTTGCTATGAGGAGACTGGTCTTTTTAAAATTTTATAAATCTAAATGAATCCTTTTGTAATACCTGAAGCAAAAATGACTTAAAAAATACTTTTGCTATGTTGGCGATGATACATATTGGATGATAATCTACACACACAACACGTGGTTCTGGAATAACCTTCTACGGTTTCGCTCGAGATTGATAGTTTGGAAAGTCAAACTTATAAGCATTAGTCGGTTGATAGTCTCAAACTTTAAAAGCCTTGACAGAATAGACAAAACCATCTTAAGTGACATTTTCCTAAGGAAGTTGCACTGTTGGTTTTTCTGGATTAACCTTCAACAGTTTCGCTCAAGATTATTAGTTTGGTAAGCCAAACTTATAAGTATTAATCTTTTGAGAGTTTCAAACTTTAAAAGCCTGGATAGACTATACAAAACCATCTAAAGTGACCTTTTCCTCAGGAAGTTGCACTGTTGGTTTTTCTGGAATAACCTTCTACGGTTTCGCTCGAGATTAATAGTTTGGAAAGCCAAACTTATAAGTATTAATCGGTTGATAGTCTCAAACTTGAAAAAGCCTTGACAGAATAGACCAAATAGTATAAAGTGATCTTGTCCTCAGGAAGTTGCACTGTTGGTTTTCGGAATAACCTTCTACAGTTTCGCTCGAGTTTAATAGTTTGGTAAGCCAAACTTATAAGTATTAATAGGTTGATAGTCTCAAACTTTAAAAGCCTTGACAGAATAGACAAAACCATGTAAAGTGACCTTTTCCTCAGGAAGTTGCACTGTTTGTTTTTCTGAAATAACCTTCTTCGGTTTCGCTCGAGATTAATAGTTTTGGAAGCCATCCTTATAAGTATTAATCGGTTGATAGACTCAAACTTTAAAAGCCTTGACAAAATAGACAAAACCATCTAACGTGACCTTTTTCCGCAGCAACTTGCACATTTAGTTTTAAGTGATACATATATAGCCAGGAGTAGACAGTATAGCCTTCAAATCTATGAAAATATAAGATGAATAAAGTAACAGTTGCAATACTTGCTTACAAATTTGATTTAACTAAAAATGTTTGAGAGGAAATCAATGGACCTTTACAAATTATCAATAATTTTATGCAACATTGTAATTACTTGTTGAAACAGATTAAAACTATTACTATAGCCGGTAAAAACATGCATAGCAGTTTGATAACTTGATAGAACAAATGATTAATTTGATATAACAGATGAGTAATTTGATATAACAGATAAGTAACTAGAATTAACAGATTACAAAGTTGAAATAGATTAATAATTTGGTATGAAAAATGTCAATACGGGCACGCGACTAACTAAACCCTGTAGGAACTTCATCGTCGTGTCTAAAGTAAATATGTTTGTGTTAATCAGAATCAATCACCTTTGGTTGTATAACCTTAACTTTGTTATTGTATCATGTTGTTGTTTACGGAAGAAGACGGAAATGTTTGTTTTTCAGTCATGACGTGTGAGGGAAAACCATGGAAACGGAGATTTGTTAATTTGACACCATATATTTATATCAGTTTTCGAAAGTGCATAATGGTTATTCAAAATTTGATTCGTATACATAAACATTCAGTCTGAGGATGCAAGAAACGGAAAATAGTGGTAAGTTCCTTTATCATTTTTTAAGCCAAAATGTTTTTCTGAAAGCTTCTGGGAGAACAAAGATTGAATATTTGTATCAAGATTTTAAACCCAATGCAAACTCTGATTACAAGTATTTCGATTACAGAGTACAATCAAATAATCACAAAAATTAATTCAAAAAGCCTACTTTCTGAATACTGTGAATTCATTAGTATTCGTTGGATACCAATTTTCGTCGGTTTCGAGGAAACAGATGAACCACGAATTTAAATGTTCAACGAATTACAAATTTTCTTTAGGCTTTGTATGCAGAGATTGGCAAAACCACGAAATCAAATATCTACGAAAATGCAAGTTTTCCTCAATCCACGAAAATTGATACCCACGAAAATAAATGAATCCACAGTAAATGAGTAAATTGATAAAACACTGTGATCGACTTTTTTTTTAAATTGACCAGCGTGTACCAAACGCAAGTACGAGATATTAATACTCCTGTTGGAATAACAGTTTTATGATAAACATTGATGATTGCGAAAAATTCAGCGACAAACACTGCATTATATTTAGGACAATACCATGTTAATGTGACGTGGCATTTCTCTACCTGGTACTATACCAACATGATATGATTTGAGTCGGCTTTTGACGTTCCAGATCACAAGGGAACGGTGCAACACGTTATCTTGATTTCGAGCTGATTATTCATTGTTCTTTATCTCAAATGCAACTAATTTGGCGAAAAGGTAGCACACACCAGTTTCAAGTCTTTGTTTTAGCTGCACCTGGCCTCTGTTGATTTGTGTTATGATTAAACTGTATAAATGAGAGCATGAGAGACAACTTTAAGATATGGAATTATGTTTTAGATATCTAACTCCATCCTTACAAAACTCGAATAGTAATTAATATTGATTAAAATCCATTGCAAACCAGCATTTTAATATCATGATTGATTCTTTTATTTTCCAAGAGAGAATTTATCAAGATAGCTATACATTCTAATTTTCCGCATAACATATACATATGTATAAATGCTATCAAAGTAATATGTCAGATATATTTTTTCTAGCTTTGCTTCAGCAGAACACTACCACCCTCTTTGCTAACGGTAAGTAATTTCATTCAAAATGAAAACGATCTTCAGTCAGAAGTATAGTAGTTCGATGTTCAACTTAAATAAGTTGCGTTTTATGTGTATTTTATCCATGTTTCATTTAATCATTATTTGAATTCCTGATTTTGATGTGATTTGTTTATCTCAATCTTTGGTTTTATGTGAAGTGTTTTATAGACTGCTCTCTAACTATGATGATGTTAATTTCCTGAGACTTAGTAATTGTTCACTAGGTTTCTTATATTTTTTTAATCAGTTAGGTGAACAACAGTGTTCCGAGTTAATCCAGGCGATATGTTTATTGGTTTTGGCTGTACTTTTTAAGCCTATTGAGTTTTGATGTTCAAATTTATTTTATGTAATGGCTACTTGCATGTTGGGTCTTATTTTGAACTTATTTTCCAATTCTATTGAAAGCTATTGGTAAGCAGCTCTTTAAACGCTTCATGTTAGACTTTTTAGATAAATACTTTTAAATGTTTAAGGAGGTAGCAAAGTTTAATCGGAAAAACTTAGGATTTTCTTCTGTGTTTTTTCTTTGTTTTATATTTTATGAACAGTTTTTAAAAAAATGCAATTGATTGGACATGTCAATAAATACCATCTCTTGCACCGCAACCAGCTTTGTCTTTGATGCACGTAAAATTGTGCTTTCAACACATTACATTCTGTCAAATTTATTTACTTAATTTAGAATTATGTCTTTTGTTGAAGACTATATGTTGACCGATCAATGTTTTTTTTTGTGGTGTGTATTAATAGGTTGCTGAATACTTGAGGTATACACCACATCTTTTTTGTTCGTATATATTAAATTATCAAATGCAATTGAGAAATGGATATTAATTACCGTTAAAAAATAGAGAGGCGAAAGATACCAAAAGGAAATTCAAACTCATAAGTCGAAAATAAACTGACAACGCCATGGCCAAAAAGAAAAAGACCTACAGCCAAACAATAGTACACAAAACACAACATAGAACACGAACCCCACAAAATAAATTTTTCATGTCCGGGACTTTTATAGCTTGCTAGGCTGTATGGGTTTTGCTCATTGTTAAAGGCTGTACAGTGACCTATAGTTGCTGAGATCTATGTCTTGTTGGTGATCTCATGTGCTCCGGAAGGGTTAACTGATCCTGCTCCACATGCGACACCCGTCAACTCCTATAAAATACGTTGTTAACTTATGAATTTGAAATTGATACTTTAATGCAATTATAAATTATTCATGTATTTTTTTCTATTTCATAGCTATTCAGCCGTACGCAATACAAAATGGAACATCTGATAGAGGTCCATTTGGAATGTTTCCGGAAATTACAATAGAATTCCATACAAACTCTATGGCTCTAGCTGCCATCTGTAGCTGCACTTCCATCGTTATTGTCTGTATATTCCTGTACTGCTGCTGCCGAGCTAGCCGTAGGGACGGGAACTACGAATGTTCATGTGCATATGAAAGACCTACATCGCATTCAGTAAGTGTATTACAATCATGGCAATAAAATGTATATCATAAACGGGTATTATAGGCATTCATAATTTTTATCCTAGTAATCAGAGCATGATAATAACATAAATGTCAGGAGCCAACAACGCACTGCTGACAAGGTCTCAATAAGAGCTATACTATCTTCAGAGAGTTTTTAGTAGATAGACGAAATAAATACTATTAAAGCATATACCATATTATAAACGTAAAACTAATGTATTTTCAAAGTTTATTTTACAACAACTGCGAAGGAATCGCCTTTCATTGAATGTGTTGAAGAAGAAGATGTCCATTCATTGCACTTATATGCAGTACAAATTTCCGTGCAGTTCTTGGAACATGTTCGATAACCTTTCATGAATCAAGCAAATATAATGAACTTAGGTATACTACTGAAACTTAATAGATCATCTGATTAAAGTTCGTAGTGTTGAAACATAATTACTTCCTGGACACTCCCGTGTTCTATAATCCGTACTTGATTCAAGATCTATTAAACCACCTAAAGTAATTCATGTTTGGCGGCCCTCTTTAGTAAAATTTGTTCGACGGTCCTTTTATTCATTGTTGTTTTTTGCCCCCTTAAGGAATTGATGTTCGATCGTCGCCCCTTCAAGTTATTGTTGTTCAGTGACTGTAAAAGTAAAATATTTTACATGTCTTTATCAATTATGAATAACAGAAGGTACTTTATTCATACCCGCGGACACAAATAAGTAGAACTTATTATGTTATACTTTCTGATGTTATATATTATGAACCATCAGTAACACATTTAGACTTCTTGTGTTCTGAACTTTCTTGTAAAAGTATGATATGGACTATTTGAATTGTTTTACACTAGTCATTTTGGGGCCCTTTGTAGCTTGCTGTTCGTTGGGAGCCAAGGCTCCGTTTTGAAGGCCGTACTTTGACCTATAAGTGTTTACTTTTTACACATTGTGACTTGGATGGAGAGTTGTCTCATCGGCACTCATACCACATCTTCTTATTTCTATTAGCAGCATATTACACATAATATTGCAAATTATAACGTTAGTTATACTATGTAAATCATTATTTATATAATTATTGTATGTGGTTTTTTTTTATTTTAGACATCTAGTAAGAAGTCTTCGGCTCTTATATCTGGTTCAATATCTATCAGAATTCCGACCTCTGAAAGCAGATATCAACCTTACAAACCTACAACCGACACAATATTTGAACAGTCCGAAAGTGAAGATAGTTCTGCAGTTAATATTGCTCAGAGGAAAACCACATCGCTTGACGTTTGAATCCATTTGAGTATTTTCGCAACTTACTACAAGGTGTTAAAGCAGACTAATAAAATAATATTCGACCGTTTAGACATCTAATTAAAAATGTGAAAACCAATTAATGCATTTTTGTCAAAATTAAAGTTATAGGCTATCTGGCTATTCCTAAATATGACTCGAAACTTTACAACATAAACATTCCGTTTCATCCTGATCAACCAAGCATCTACAGAGAAGATTGTTTTCATATGTCTTATGCTCCATATTGGAGAATATACTGTGCATCAGTGTTTATTTGACATAGCGTTATAGTTTGTCACGAAGATCTATGAATATTCTACATGTTCTATGTATTTATATTTTTATAATGTACATTCCATTTTTGTATATTTTTATTAAATCATGATATATTTTTAAAACAGTAGACTATCTTTATTCCTCCCTTTCCAGTGTATTGCACCTTCAAGATTAGATATTAATTTGTTCTGTTTAATGACAACCTAACAACAAGTGAATACATTTAATTCGCTTTATATCTTCGGTTGCAACTTTTTGGTAGTGAAATAGTCAGACTTGTATTATATTGATACATCAATGAACATATACTTATTATATGCATAAAACATTTTGATAATAATCAACGATCATTCTTACGAATGAATGTTATCGTTAATAAAAACGTTAATGTAAACATTAGATAGATAAAGCATACGTATAAAATGTGTTAACAACACCATGCTTAAGTAAAAATGAAATACACAAACCAATAGCTAATATCTTTTATCATTATCGTGTTGTAAAATTCATTGAATTATTCGTCCTCGTTGTTGGATACGAGAAACGAACGCTTCTTTTCATTTGATGACTTTCGGGAATTTAAAGTCAAGGACAGACCAATGTAATAAAGACTTCGCTGGCATATGCATTGTCTATTTTCATTTTTCTGAAACACATGTTTGTTTTGATCACAACCAGTAACATTCAATCGAATAATACACAATAACAAATACAGAAGTATAGCATTGCATTAATTGGTATCACACTGTTCTTGTTAAAGAGAAGGCTGTTAGATTTTATATCGGATATTGACCATGTTGACGTGAAAAGAAGAAACAACATAAAAAATCTGATTCATCAATTTGACACTTTATTTATCAATATTTACAGTAGTGTTAAATTCATACAAATACTGATTTTTAATTGGTTTAAAGATGAATCATTTGATTCTGCCACTTGCTTTCATTTCGAATGGTTTAAACAATTCGCAAATGTTATTCATATGAAAAAAGTAGTTGATAATATGTCTTCAAATATGAATAATTGATATAACCAACACAAGTTGTTTCAAATTTCAAAATCCCTCTTCAGATGCTAATGATAGATGCTGTTTAACTTCCAGCGGCAAATTAAATGCATGTTCAGGACGAAAACATGTTAATGAAAGCCTCTCGGAATTTTGGGTCATCAATGCTTTTCAACTTCGCTCTTTATTTGGCCCGGTTTTAACTTTTTTGATTCGAGCGTCACGGATGAGTCGTTTGTAGACGAAACGGGCGTCTGGCGTACAAAACTTTAATCCTGGTATATATGATGAGTCTTTTATGAATAATAATCCTCTTTATACAAGACCTACAAGCTGAGTCGTATTCTTAACGTGCTAGTTCACAAGAAAACAGTCTACAGGAGGACATGTCACATATTATTATGAGTCGACCAGTCTTAATCTTATTCGATCCTTAATACCGATTGTTTAGCGAAGAAGCAGCAAATAACTTTTTGAAAGTCTTTGTTTTGATAAGGCATGGGTTCGAACCCATGATTCCCAAAACAAAGAGAAAGGGTAATAGAAATAAGAAAAAATTTAAGAAAAAGAAATATGATCAATTCTTGAAAAAACGTTTTGTTTGGTTGATGTACGATTTAACCTATTCTAATATTTAAGCATTTAAATCTTCAAATTGAAAAAGGGTCATTTTCATTTTAGGTACTTTATATTGATTTTTGCTATGATAAATTTTTCATGTCCGGGACTTTTATAGCTTGCTAGGCTGTATGGGTTTTGCTCATTGGTAAAGGCTGTACAGTGACCTATAGTTGCTGAGATCTATGTCTTGTTGGTCTCTGATGGAAAGTTGTCACATTGGCAATCATACCACATCTCTTTATTTTACATGAAGTAAGATTACAGCTACATCATCAGGTAGACAAACCGAGCATTGTGCTTGTCTGTTTATAGGGTTGTAAAATGCTCTTAAAAATTCAACTATTCTATGTGTCTATCAAAACAAATATTTATTAGCTATAATATACTAAAATAGAAAAAAATATGAAAAGTTAGATCTGTTTACCCCTTAAATTAAAAAAAATAATTGGTATCAATAAACTCATCATAGATACAGGGATTAAAATTGTGTACGCCAAACGCGCGTTTCGTGTACACAAGACTCATCAGTGACGCTCGAATCAAAAAAGTTAAAAAGGCCAAATAAAGTAATATGTCTTTAAAAATCTTTGAAATAGCTAAGCGTTAATTTTCTATAACGTTAAATATATAGTGTAATACCCCAAGGAATGAGTAGGGTATATGCATTTGTTCTCCCTGACTTTCCATACGACAGTAAAACCGATGCTAAGAAAAAAAGAGATGAACATCTGGTCGTTAAGAAAGAAAAAGATATCAATGAAGCAATCAAAACCCATCAGTCAAATAAAAAAAAGACAGCCACCAAAATAAGATAAAACTATAGACAAACAACGTTCAACAACAAAGTACACAGAAACCTTGAGAAACACGAACCAAATTAAACACAAAGACTAAGAATTCAAGTGCTACTATGGGGTATGCAAATGGAGATAAAACAAAAAGACGCACCGCAAAATAGCATACAATAAACTCATTATAGATACCAGGATTAAAATTGTGTACGCCAGACGCGTGTGTCGTCTACAAAAAACTCAGTGTCTCAAATAAAAAAAGTAAGAAAGGCCAAATAAAGTATGAAGTTGAAGAGCACCGAGAACCCAACACAATATTCCGAAAGGTTTTGCCAAATACTTGTAAAAATGTGTTAACAACACCATGCTTAAGTAAAAATGAAATACACAAACCAATAGCTAATATCTTTTATCATTATCGTGTTGTAAAATTCATTGAATTATTCGTCCTCGTTGTTGGATACGAGAAACGAACGCTTCTTTTCATTTGATGACTTTCGGGAACTTAAAGTCAAGGACAGACCAATGTAATAAAGACTTCGCTGGCATATGCATTGTCTATTTTCATTTTTCTGAAACACATGTTTGTTTTGATCACAACCAGTAACATTCAATCGAATAATACACAATAACAAATACAGAAGTATAGCATTGCATTAATTGGTATCACACTGTTCTTGTTAAAGAGAAGGCTGTTAGATTTTATATCGGATATTGACCATGTTGACGTGAAAAGAATAAACAACATAAAAAATCTGATTCATCAATTTGACACTTTATTTATCAATATTTACAGTAGTGTTAAATTCATACAAATACTGATTTTTAATTGGTTTAAAGATGAATCATTTGATTCTGCCACTTGCTTTCATTTCGAATGGTTTAAACAATTCGCAAATGTTATTCATATGAAAAAAGTAGTTGATAATATGTCTTCAAATATGAATAATTGATATAACCAACACAAGTTGTTTCAAATTTCAAAATCCCTCTTCAGATGCTAATGATAGATGCTGTTTAACTTCCAGCGGCAAATTAAATGCATGTTCAGGACGAAAACATGTTAATGAAAGCCTCTCGGAATTTTGGGTCATCAATGCTTTTCAACTTCGCTCTTTATTTGGCCCGGTTTTAACTTTTTTGATTCGAGCGTCACGGATGAGTCGTTTGTAGACGAAACGGGCGTCTGGCGTACAAAACTTTAATCCTGGTATATATGATGAGTCTTTTATGAATAATAATCCTCTTTATACAAGACCTACAAGCTGAGTCGTATTCTTAACGTGCTAGTTCACAAGAAAACAGTCTACAGGAGGACATGTCACATATTATTATGAGTCGACCAGTCTTAATCTTATTCGATCCTTAATACCGATTGTTTAGCGAAGAAGCAGCAAATAACTTTTTGAAAGTCTTTGTTTTGATAAGGCATGGGTTCGAACCCATGATTCCCAAAACAAAGAGAAAGGGTAATAGAAATAAGAAAAAATTTAAGAAAAAGAAATATGATCAATTCTTGAAAAAACGTTTTGTTTGGTTGATGTACGATTTAACCTATTCTAATATTTAAGCATTTAAATCTTCAAATTGAAAAAGGGTCATTTTCATTTTAGGTACTTTATATTGATTTTTGCTATGATAAATTTTTCATGTCCGGGACTTTTATAGCTTGCTAGGCTGTATGGGTTTTGCTCATTGTTAAAGGCTGTACAGTGACCTATAGTTGCTGAGATCTATGTCTTGTTGGTCTCTGATGGAAAGTTGTCACATTGGCAATCATACCACATCTCTTTATTTTACATGAAGTAAGATTACAGCTACATCATCAGGTAGACAAACCGAGCATTGTGCTTGTCTGTTTATAGGGTTGTAAAATGCTCTTAAAAATTCAACTATTCTATGTGTCTATCAAAAAAAATATTTATTAGCTATAATATACTAAAATAGAAAAAAATATGAAAAGTTAGATCTGTTTACCCCTTAAATTAAAAAAAATAATTGGTATCAATAAACTCATCATAGATACAGGGATTAAAATTGTGTACGCCAAACGCGCGTTTCGTGTACACAAGACTCATCAGTGACGCTCGAATCAAAAAAGTTAAAAAGGCCAAATAAAGTAATATGTCTTTAAAAATCTTTGAAATAGCTAAGCGTTAATTTTCTATAACGTTAAATATATAGTGTAATACCCCAAGGAATGAGTAGGGTATATGCATTTGTTCTCCCTGACTTTCCATACGACAGTAAAACCGATGCTAAGAAAAAAAGAGATGAACATCTGGTCGTTAAGAAAGAAAAAGATATCAATGAAGCAATCAAAACCCATCAGTCAAATAAAAAAAAGACAGCCACCAAAATAAGATAAAACTATATACAAACAACGTTCAACAACAAAGTACACAGAAACCTTGAGAAACACGAACCAAATTAAACACAAAGACTAAGAATTCAAGTGCTACTATGGGGTATGCAAATGGAGATAAAACAAAAAGACGCACCGCAAAATAGCATACAATAAACTCATTATAGATACCAGGATTAAAATTGTGTACGCCAGACGCGTGTGTCGTCTACAAAAAACTCAGTGTCTCAAATAAAAAAAGTAAGAAAGGCCAAATAAAGTATGAAGTTGAAGAGCACCGAGAACCCAACACAATATTCCGAAAGGTTTTGCCAAATACTGTGGATTCATTTATTTTCG